ATTTTTCCTTCCTCCCCCTTCAGGGAGGCCTCAATTACCTTCAGTCATGTGAACAGTATTAAGATCCACTTGTTACATTATTATTTTGGGGGCAAGAATATATTACGGAATTAGTGATGAGCGAGGTCTCCAATAAAAGACCAAATTGAAATTATGCTGTCATTTGCTATGGGCTTATTAAAAAGTTTGGTTTGATATTTAGTATATAATATTGCAACTTACTTGCAGGTAGAGATGTAAAATAATAACGGTAATTAAAATGAACAATGATATTTTTGTCCTTGCCCAACTCTAACTTCTCCAAAATACACAGATCAAAAGAAATAAAAATCAATCCTGTATTACAAATTGACCTTGTTGACAAGTTTTCATTCATGTTTTCCCTACTCTACTAAGCACATTTACAATCTTACTAGCTTTATCATTATAAATTTAACAGATGGAAAAGCAAATAAAAGGTTAAATGAAATCAGTGGCTACAGTGACAGTCTGACAAGCCCCCAGAAATCAACATTCAAATTGTGGAAGTAACTCTGCTTTGCTAAATGACCCATATGCTACATAAACGTACTTGCTGCCTCCTCACCTCCAGTAACACAAACCAGGAAGTCTGTTAAATAGCAACAAGAAAGGATTATATACAGAACCATGGGAGCAGAAAACCAGCAAAAGATAGTACCCACATTTAGTGGCATTTGGGATAAATGAGAAAGTGCTGTGCTCCATGGCAGGAATTATAACAGCTCTTTTGCCATTACAAAGGGTTGATAGCACTGCACTGATTCTCTCCCTATGTCATTTGCAGGTGCTTCTAAAACACAACAGAGTTGCAAGAGATGCCAGAAGAGACTAAACATACCCAAAACCACATCCACAAAGTCAGATCATCTAGAAACTCTATCATGCAACAAATCTAATTCTAACAAAATACAGTATTGTGTTGTTCCCCATAGAAGAGTCCTACTGGCTGTTTAGGAACTAAATTTGAGAAGGTCTAACCAAAGGTGCTCCAAAACCCACATATTAAATACAGAGTAAGACCTCTCCGCTCTTTAAAAAAAAAAAAGAAAGAGGTATAAAATTCTGTTGAACTGATAAACAAGGACATAGTTATCTTCTCAGTGGTAAGCATTGTTGCAAATATTATGTAGAAAAGTTATTATTGTATTTGGCAAAATTCTGTATAATACAAAACAAGTATCCCTTTGCTAGCCTCTGGTGTTTCATCACTCGGGAACAATTCCCAGCTATCACTTCTGGCATATTCTTCTTGGTGTTTGTTCCATATGCCCTATCCTATTGCTATGTAATGCATCTTAAATTAGCTAGCTTTCTTCCTACGCACAATAGATGAGCTGCAGTGAAATATGTCAAGTAAGAAAATAAAACAAATATGCATCTTCCACACAACAATTTCTGTAATGACTTATGCCTCATTATGGCATTGGTACAACTCTAGTCCACAGGCTTGGGCTTTTTTTATTTCTTTCTAGAGAATGAGACCAGGGAGTCAAACAGAACATCACCAGTTCTGCCTTCGAGTCTTTATCTGTGCTGAGTAACCATCGATAAAACACATGGTATTTTGCACACAAAGGCAACATGGCTGAACCCTGGTAACAAATAAATATTAGGTGCTATGCTGTCCCTACTCGACTCATAAAATTTCATAGCTTTACATATGTTCTATTTAAAATCAGCTCCAAGTGCTGCCAACCAAAACCTTTGCTTGCGTGGTTTCACCCTGAATGAAATAGTAATACCTGACAGCATCTACTTTTTCTCTTGTAAATGTAAGCGAACTGTGAAGACCTTGTAAGATATTAATATACGTAATCCAGGTTATGCTATTTAAAAAGAAAAAAAAAAGGTAAAAAGATACTGACACTGTGCATAGTTCAAGATATGAGAAAATACACCCTGGAATTAATCTATTGCTTTACCACCCTTCAGGTGCATTTGTTTCAATAAAATATACTCTTCCTGCTATGAGCTTGATTTTAAGCAATAGCATGGACTCACCACTGCACATACCGGTCACTGGGAACTACGCACACTTTACATCTTCTTTGCGAAACAATATAAAAAGCACATAGAATCAAATAAGCGTCACCTGCAAAACTTCAGTGTCTTTATTGCTAGCACAGGCTCATCATTGAGGAATTCAACTACCTTGTGCCCAGAGCTAAAATCCTTACAAAATTTTAGAAATAATTTCGTTATAGCATGGTCAAAGGATTCATTACAAAACAATACAATTCTTTACAATTTCCAAGACAAAGTAAAATATTAAACAGAACAGATTTCCACTGTAGGATTGCTAGTTCATTTAAGAACTTTATTGAATTATTCTTGACTTCCAATCAGCTATTCTTGATTCTTATTTAAAGGAAAGAAGATTTTTACAAAAGTGAGATTTGCATGTTTTGTTATCAGAGCTGCGATAATCAAATATTATTGCACCAAAGGGCAGAGAAGCACTCAAATTCTGGAATGAAGGTTCAGGGCAAATGATAACAAACTGCTACCCTATCATCTCTGGCTGCAGTCTGTGGGTAGATACTTAACTATCCCTATGTGACATTTATGCGGGCACAATATCAGAGCCTTTCTGCATTGCTGAGCTGGAGGAAGGGCTACTACCTCTCACAGTGAAGAGACAAGACCAGAGGGGGAAAAATGAACCAGCCAGTTGCTACAACTGCAAAGTTTTATAGCACACAGAGTACCAAGGAGCAGCCATACAGACCCATGAAAGCCACAGGCACGTTCTTACCACCCTACATGCCACAGAAATGCATTGGGAAGCAAGCCACACATTCTTGCAAATGTATGGGATAGCCAAGCTACAACCAAAACCACCTTCTTTAAAAGCACAGACCCTCTTTACTGTGGGGACAATCTCTGTTTGCAAGGCACAGCTGAGTAGTCTGTATAGTCTCCATCAGACAGCAAAGGCAGGCGTTTGTTATCATAGTTAAAGTGAACTTTCCCTTCCCTTCAAGGCTCCTTACATCTGGCACTTGCCGGTGCTCCTGGTGAGTTCTGCCTGCCCACAGATCCAAGCTAGAGCTCCTCCATGCAGCACAGCAAAGCATTTTACACGCAGCAGTCTTCCCCGCAAGCGCCAAGGAACAGCGGCATTGCCAAGGCAGGAGGCACTTTGCACAAAGCATGTTTATTAGCTGTGACATGGAGCACAGCATTTGCAAAGAGCTAAGGAAGAAGACAGCTGCTGCGGCTACCCTAATTACCTTTCCCCAGACATCAACAGTAATTTACAATTTGGATGATGTTGCTGGAACTAAGTATGATCTAGATCTACATGCAAGCTCTCCTCCTCACTTTTATAGGCCATGTGTTATACGAGAATTACAACTATTCAAACTGTTTCCATGAGTTACGTTATCTCCTGGAAGGTTTTTTATTGCGCATTCTCCTTTTGCTACTGGAAAATACAGAATTTGATGTAGACAGTAATCAGATAATCACAGCTTGTTACAAGCACAAGCCAGCAGGATTTGCCGTTAGAAACTCTCTAATCTATCACATCAAAACAAAGAACATTTGAGATGCTTAGTAAAAACTATGCTTCTTAACACACATTTCACAGCAGAACTAAAAAATAAAAATTAAAAACCCCAATATGTACAACAGGTAGAACGTTAGTCTCACATATATCCAAATTCAATTCTAAGTTACTCAGCTACTACAGCATTTTGAAATATTTACTGTGTTCAGCTCCTGCTGTTTTCTGCTAACCAAAATTTAAAAGAATGCACGGGAAGTCTGACAAATTAAGACATCATCAACAATTAATTACACAAAGAGGATAAAACATTTCAAACAGTTGCACCCTTGAAAGATCAAAAGCTTTCCTCCTCCAGCAGTAGCTCTGAACTGCCTTATTGACAAGAGACGTCATTTAGCAGAGCATAAATGCAAGACAAAACTTCAAATGTATGGATACACACGAAACTGCAAAGACTCAGTAGATATTCTAAGCCCTGTAGTATACTTGGGTAAAGAAGTAGTAAAAAGAAATCAGATAGAGTGAATTAGACAGAAAAGCTTTAAACCTAGGATAAGTATCCATGCTATGTCTGTACTTGCAAGCTCTGAGAATAAAGATAATGTTGACTTAGCGACTCACAGTTACATGAATCCAGTAGTTTGCTGGTGCTTTGTATATTAAAATAAGCACCAGTCTCCAGCTTCTACAATAATTTAGACCCAGGCAAGACAAACACCTACTCGGTGTGGGTCCTGCTCCCCCCAGTAGAAGTGCAGCATGTATTTTGTGGCTATATTGCTACACAGTCAAGGGATTCTTCTCACCTCAAGCTGCAAGTCAAATGAGAGGACGAGACTTACCCATGTTTCTCTGAACTATCCACTGATAACATTTCACTGCTGCTTTCATCAATGGGAAGGACATGAGCAATGTATTCTCCATTCTGCTGGTAAAATTTATAAACAGCCACTTGAACTACGCATTGGTCACTGCTGCTTCTCAGCCAAGGGCTCAGGATGACAGGGCTTGGCCTCTCCGATGCATTGAGAAACAGAAATGAACCTAGAACAGATGAGGCAACAAGAAAGCTATAAGAATAAAAAAAAACATCCCAAAGCCTCACAGAGTGCAGATGAATACTTGTAATTTTTAAGCCACAGCTCACTCTGCAGCCCCTCCATACTTCCCAGTCAAAGATTATCTTTGCCAATTAGTTTGGAAAGTTTGCCCATTTTGTATTAAACCCATTACAGTCTTCCCAAGCAGGCAACATTTCAACTCACCTTTGGATGGTCCAAAACAAAGATTACATTTTAGGTTTAGATTCTTGCTTTCGTGTACCTATTTTTCCTAGACTTCATCCCCGTCTCTGTAACCTCTCAGGTGTGGTCCACACCCAAACATTATGGCCTTGGTTCAGTGGGATCCTAATTTGACAGCTCTGATATACATATGTATATTTATCTATATTTTTAAAATAATACTTTATATCTATTTCTCTCACCCAAATAAAGAACACAAATTCAATAGCTTTACTTTTGCTCTTCTATAAACAGAAGAGTGCAGCATTTTTAAGTCATTACAGTCAGAATAGAGGCCCGACATGATTTTATTTCTTCAGCAATTCATTCTAATGTATTAATTTTATATGCAGCTAATACACATTAAACATTTCATTATTATCCAGTACATTGACTTCCTTGGCCTAATTCTATTTCAATACACTCTGAGGCTTATCCAGTGGGACAGAGGTAATGCATTTTCATCACACTGTTGCTCGTTTCAGGTAAGTCAAATGACTCCCTTTTGGCAGCTGACCAGTTTACCAATTTGTCCGCACAGCAAGCCCACTGGGGTGTATAGCTGGTAAATTAAAGGTGCAGTTAGGTAAATGAAAGGGACCAATGCTTGAAGCAAGAAAAATTGTGATACTCCACAGGTTCTAGCAAGGCTGGTCAGATAATCAGGACAATGAGATTTCATTTCCTGGAACGCCCACTAATAAAGCCTGTCAACTAATCCTTAATACATGCAGATCTGATGAACAGTTTAATTTCATAGAGAGAACCTAAGGCTCAACAGGGCTGTAATTTAAACCTCTTTTTAAGCGCGCGTGAATTTTAGCAGGAGCAGCAGCTTGTTTTTGAAAATAGCAAGGTTGAATATCCAGAGGAACGATCTTCCACATCACTAAGTATGGCTCAGCTGAGATCCAGGTTCTCTAAGAAATCCTGTGGAGGGGCCACAAATGGATCCTGCTCGCTGTCACCTCTGTGTCTAAGCTGTGGACCACAAGGTACCATTCCAAGCTCCTTTGGTAGTTCACCTCATGCTAAATTGGATCTGGTGAATTGTGCTTTGGTGATTACCATCTCTTTCCACTGAACTGAGGGTCAAGAGCTCAGATTTGAGTATCTCACTATCAAATGCAGGTTTAGAACAGGTGAATAGCACTTGTGCTCACAGATGTCCCCTTTGAAAAAGTCTGATTTGGCAATTCATCTCAGGTCACACACAGGGTAACAATACAAGGGCTAAAAATGAAAACTGGATTCTTGTCAACCACCATGTTTCCCTCCCATACACACATTTATCATAAACAGCATTTTTGACGTACTTGTCAAAAACTGTGTTCTTGACATTGGCATCGTGTTAATGACATATCTAAAACTAGAAAACATTTGTCGGGAAAGAAACACGCAGAAATACATAAAGTACAGCCTGCTCAGGTGTCAAGGTCTGTAAACAGAGAGAAGTGAAATGTAGTCGCAACATTATTATTTTTTTTTTTATAACAAGATTCCTTTATGTAAAATAACAGCCTTTAATCCAGTTACTAATGGAATGGTTTGATGAGTTTAAACAAACTCTGTTATTGTCACAGTTATATATACACAGTATTTTTGCTGGTCAGTAAAAACCAAAGACCTGTATCATCCTTCCCTGTCTCTACCTTTTGCTGCAAACAAAAGAGAATTACAGCACTAAATCTTGTGGCTTTAATTGAACCATCCCCATAAGAACACTGAAATCTGCGACATGAAAGGGAGCAAAGAGACTTCTGCTGGTGGCAGAAAGACAGTAAGCATTGTAATAATTGCTGATGGTAACTTGCCAGGTGCAAGAGCCATTTGCTCATCTTACTGCCTTGCAACAGGGAGTTCAGTTTTAAAATAACACACAAAGCTAGCCCCTCATTCCTTCTTTCCTTGCAGTGGTTCTAAATAAAGAGATCTTCCAAGGACAGTCCCTCTCATGCCTTGGCTTGGGGCCAGGTTTGAAACATGCGTGAAGTCTAGCAGTAAACAAGGCTAGCTGATACAACAAATTTGTGAGATAGTCACTAACCTCCTTTGGTTTGGCTTTTGTATTTCTGCTTTCTATTTACAGGGCTCACGCTTCGCAATTGTGGCTTATTACTCACCACATGGCCCATTTTACCTACTAAATTATATTGCTAAAAGGAATACAATTTTGCTATTGTGGGGTCTACCCTGCCACACTCTCCCCAGGATGCTAGGAGGAACAGCCCCACACTACAATGCTGTGAAGTGGTGCCTAGAAAATCACTCTGAAGGACACGGCTACTACACTGTGTCGGCCTCACTGCCAGTACACAGTTTTGTCAGAAACACCCTCCTAGTGGGTACTTTTGGGGAGATCACCTACCTGAGCAAATGCTAGAACTGACAGATTACCTTTTAATTTTTTTTTATAATATTTTTAAAATATTTGCTTTATTTTACTTTTTAAAAGGGGAGAATAAACATAACGTTGTTCTTGCTTTTAAAAGCTCAGCCATCTCACGAGTGACATCCCTGTCTGCTGCGGTGTTCTCTTTTTGCTCTTACTGCTCATCTAATCCATAAGTGCAAAGGAAAGAACTATCAAAGCCGCATTTGACTGGTGTTATTGGAACCGTTTCCAAAATTGAAATGAGGGGTACTTGCTATGAAACCACAGAAAGCCCAGAGGCTTTGTTACACAGCAGAATTCAAAGATTCTTGTTCACATACTATGAGTTAGATCTGCTTATTACAGAGCAGACCAGGAAGTCCCTATAGTAACTAGGCCTGACACCTATAGCGTACTCTTTTCCACATAAGCAATAGACTCAAAACAGCAATTCAGACAAACCCAATTTCATGAAATTGCTGCCTCCAAAGCATACGTGACATATCTGTCAGTCAACTGCATACATATACACACATACACAAAGCCAAAAACCCACCGACAGCGGTGCAAATCCTCTTTCATTGAAGTTGACAGGACTTACGCTACTGAAATCAATGGTGCAAAACCCCACAAAGGAATAAGTAATATGTCTGAAGTGAGAAATGATACATTTTGAACACAAATCCTCACGCTCCTCCCTTCCCTCAAAGGCACAATCTCTCAGTTGTTGCTTTCCATTGTTCCACACTATGGCCTCCCACAGGATCAATATGAGCACCATTTTCACGATTAGATCAGAGACGGCTACTTAGAAAGAGTTAAAAGATCACACGGAGATCAATTCCCCATCCATGCGGAGGGACAGAAGTCCATACCAATGGACTTTCTGGGCAAAACTAGAAGCTATGTGTGCAGTTGTATTTCCCTCCGGTGGGAGGGAATCCATGTGGCACGCTCTATCTGAGATCACTGTGTAGACCCATAAGACTCAAAGATTCCAGCTATAATTTCCTTGCACTTATTTTCTCCTATTAGCTTGGAGCTCTAATAAGGCTCTTGGGATCCTCCTGGGTGAATAGCTAGAAAAAGCACTGTAGCTTCAAACAAACTTCTACTGCTATTTAGATATCAAGGGATATAAGCTGAGATGAAAGGCCCCTTCATGGTACGTGCTGTCAGTGTCATGTTCTACTGCTCAGGACTCTGAAGGATCTATTCACTTTTCAGAAAGATGTTCACCAATAAGTCATTTCAGGAGTCTTCCGCTACAGGTTTTAAATTGGACTCTGGCGGCACAGCGCAATGCTGATATTAAAGAGACGCAGTTAAAATAATCACATTGTAACTAGATATCCAGCCGCAGACCCAGGCACTTAGCACTTCCTGGGTCCTGAGCTCATCCATCATCATCACGCAGAACCATGTGGTTGCGCTGGGAACAGCATTCAGTCTTTTACACCAAATACACTTGTGTTTGCTTTTTATGACTGAAACCCTATGAGCTGATATTACTCTGTGGCATTTCAGCAACTGCTAATCTAAATTGCAAATACTTTATTCTCCACATTCCCCCTAAACTCTGGGAGAAACCTACCAGTAGTACTCAGCTTCTAATCATATTTTTCCCCTACATTTTTAATACCTGCAGTCACAACGCAATGGTTTTCCTGATCCTCATGCGTTGTGTCTGATAATATCTCTGGCAACTTGCTGTCACTTTAGACAAACACACATGGAAAGATATTTATGCTTAAGCACAGGGAATTGCTGCAGTTGACATAAAAGGAATATTACAAGACAAATTAATATATCCTGCATGAAAAAAAATTGCTGTTGATCCTTTGGAAGCTTGTTTACAACATTTTAACATTCATGTCACAAAAAGGGAAGGATGGCTTATCAGCTTAGTAGCAAGATGCTTTTGAAATGATGAAGACAGCTTCAAGTTGCGCTGTTCGGAACTAATGAGGTAACAGAGATATTGGCAAAGAAAAAACCTGATGCTAATGTACTATGCGTGTAGAGATACACAGGAATAAAGCACCTGCCCAAAGCAGCTTTCAAATAAAGGGGTATAGACAAAACCAGCAATGAAGACCATTCCTGCAATCTTTGGCCCAACACCTTTGTCTGATGCAAACGCATAAAACATCTAAAACTCATGCCAGTGAGAATGCTGAGGCAACCCTGAGGAGTTCAAAAGACAGAGCCATGGTTTGGCCCTAGGAACTGGGCAAACTTAGTACCCTACTGCTAGCCCCTTTAAAAGCTGGTCATCTGATAACTACCCAATAGCTCTGAATGCACGCTGCTAATTGCTCATACCCTAAATCCTTCCTAGTCGATCTCAGGGTAAACGCAGTAAAGAGCCAGGGCAGGTTCTTCTG